CACTGTTGTTAAATCCATGCAAGAATAACCCCTATTTAAACTTCTAACGCAAAAAGTTAGTTGTTTTCTGCTTTAACATCATATAAATGGAATATATAACATGTGTCCTTTAGGATCTTGCTTCTTTTAGTCAGCATTGTACTGTGAAATTGATCTGTATTACATGTTTGTAGTTCATTTTTTGTTTTCTCTTTAGTACATGCTTGCACTGTATGCAGTTTGTAAGCATCTTGGGGAGGGGGTACTTGTACATAATGCAGCTAGATTCTTTTTTTATCCCCTTAGTCTTCCCTCCTACCTGTAGGAAACTCCTCTAGGGTTTCCTCAGTCTAAGAAGTCAATATTTGTAATCCCAAAGATACGTTATTGGAATCCTACCAAGTTAATTCATGTCTACCACTCTCAGTACAACCCATGGCAAAAGTAAAGACACTAAAACATATTTTTAATTATTGGGGCATCAAGGGGCCCTAAGTCCAGCCATAAAGATTGCTTTCTGGAACAAAGAGGCTGACCCAGGGCCTCACCTGGTTTTATTCAGTGGAGGAGTGGCTTGAGGAGGAATGACTGAGAATTGTGGGAAGTGGGTGAGTACTGTGAGCTGAGCTAGGTGGGTGGCCTGCATTTACCTCTGCCATATGCAGAGAGAAGGAGATGCAGAGAAAGTAATCTGCATTATGCTATTGAGATAGTATCTAATGTTTTGGGGGGTCTGGTGCTTCAGCTTTGATGTAGTCTTTCAAGCCCCAGAAGTCATAGCCTCTGTCTCAAGGCTTGATCCCATCTGGCATTGCGGAGCATTGGCTCTTCATCCTGTCTCGACCCAGCTCACATTAAAGAGCAGCAGGTGTAGGTTGCCAGGGAAACATGCATGCCACCTTCAAAGACTATCACCAGCACCTCAGCTAGACCAATATACATTGCTTAAGGCCAATTGAAAGATTAAACAAAATTCCTAGCCAGCTCTGCACATAATACAAGGAAATAAGGTCAGGCTCGGCCAAAATGGAGACAGAGTCGCTTTTCTTTCAAGGAGAGCTGCTGAGGTGGTCCTTCACACCTACCTCCTTCCCTCCTCTTCTAAATCTCCTTATCGCATTTTCTTTTTTAAACTTTTATTAGTACGTATTTGCAGTACATAATTAGTACATTCACTGTAAGGAATCAGTATGTGTACATAACATATTACAAATCGTTCATTCTCATTGGTGTTTCATCATATATACTACAATTTGTTTTACCATTTGTGGACATTTAAATTATGTCCAGCTTTTAACTGTTAGGTTAATTGCAACTTCATTATTACATAAGTCCTCATTGAACATATATCTGTCTGTCTCTCTGTATGCCTCTGTCTCTCTGTCTCTGTGTGTTTGTGTCTCTCTGCCTCTGTCTCTCTCACTCTTACTCTTGCTCTCCTTGAGACAGGATCTCACTGTGCAGTTCAGGCTGGCCTGGAGTTCACTTTGTAGCCCAGGCTCACCTCAGACTCACAGTAACTCCTGCCTCAGCCTGTGCACCACCACAGTTGGCCATGACTGCTATCTCTTGAGTGTGAATCTAGGAGTGAAACTAATAGGCTAAGGATATGCATATGTTCAGCTTTCATAAATATTGTCAGACAGCTTTCCAAAATCGTTGTACCGGTTTACATTCCCATCAGCTGGTTGGAAGTTGCAACTGCCCCACTTTTTCACCAACATTCGTATCTCCTATTTTTTGTATCTTTCCTCTCTGAGGTATGTGGTAATATGACATTATAGTTTTCATTTGCATTTCCCTGGGGACTAATGAAGTTAGGACATTTTCTTATGTTCATTGGCCATTTGGATGTTCTCTTTTATGAAGTGTCTTTTCTTCTTTGTTCGTTTTCCTGTTGCCTTTGTCTGGTATTTTTATCACTGATTTATAGACATTCTTTACACACAGTACGTTCTGTCAGATACGTGTGTTGGAATTCTCTTCTCCCTATCTGCTTACATCCTTTCTTGATCTGCCTTTTCAGAGGACTTTGAAAATGACCAGAAGTTTGAGGCTTCTTTAAAACCACTTTGTGAAGGGAAATATTTGTCCTCTTTAATATAAATGCCCTTATTATGGTATAAATACTGTGTTATTTAATAAGCTGTATTTTCTACACAAAGGCTCATACATGGGTATTCATAGCAGCATTATTCATAGTAGCCAAAGATGGAAACAACCAAGGTTCATCTCAGAGGAATAAATAAATATAGTACAGTGATTATGAACCGAGGTATGAGTGTTATTGTTTTTCTTTGAAGATATAAATATGTTAATGCAGAGTTGTTTCTGCTAAACTAAAACCTCAGTATTTGGGTTTAATTAGTGTTGGCATTTGCAGAAAATAAGTGGGCTTGGAGTTGCAACTAACAAATTACTTCACAAGATATTTTAGAGATGATAAAGGTTGGTTGCTCTAAGACACAGAAAGGCCAGCACAATGGAAGGACTTTCTGAAAATTAATAGATCTTAGTGAAAAGCAATCATTCTAAAAATAGTTTAAAGTTTTTTTAGGGGAGGGTTTGAGACAGGATCTCACAACACAGTTTAGGCTGGCCTTCAACTTGCTATGTAGCTCAGATTAGCCTAGAACTTGTGATCCTCCTGCCTCAGTCTCCCAAGTGCCACCACACCCAGCCTCCCTAAAGTAAAATTTTTATCATTTGTGCCTGACTTCTTTTCCTAAAATAATATAGCAAACAGTCAGTAGGCTTTTTCTACATATCTAGTTTTTATTCCAGTGTCCCCTAAAATGGGTTATTGTCTACTATACCACCTGTTTTGCCTAGACTCAGCGGCATTTTCAGGAAAATCATAACCTTACTGTACAGAAAATGAGTTTTGCAGTTATTTGGTAGCAGGCCTCAAAACAAATTGGCAATGCTCTTAAAATGTTATTTTAAGAACCCTTGGAGAGGGTGAAGCACAGACTTGCATTCTGCATGCAGTTAGGGTCAGAACGTATAGGCATCATAGTCTGATGCTTTGTGGGAAGTGTGTGCCTCTGTGCTCTGTCAGCTGAGACCTTAGCAGTGCTTGAGCGGCTACTGAAGTGCCCTCTGCACTGGTATACGAGCTCAGGGCAGGCCGCACTGCCTCTGACCTCACCTCACCAAGTGTGTAGAGAAAGTTGGGAGATAGGAAGAACTAAGCCTCCGCCATGCTTTCTGAATTGTCAGCAAAAGTTGAAGCTGAAGTAAAAGCAGCTGCAGAAATGTCTATGGGAGCAGAGGCTCCTGAAGATACTTGCATTGTTCTATAGCTTTGCACCCGAGTGATTGAAATCTCCAGATACGGAACCCAGCCACATGCATGTTTCCAGAATCCAATGACAGCCATTGCACCTAGTCACGGTTGGCAAGCAAGTTGGAGCGTGGCTGACTGCCCGCCTGTGTGGGTTCTCTTTTGAAACTGGCCAAGCATGCAGCTCCTACAACTCAGACTCTTGGAGCAGAGGAAGCAGTTTCGAGAGCCCTCGTGTCGCGATGGGACACCTGTAAACATGGTCTCATTTCTCATGCTTCCCTTCTAGGCCACGGAAGTCCCAAACGCAAAGGGAAGATTTTTCAAATGCTGAGTCCCCAAGCCATGTTGTGATGCTTCCAGGCAAGATCCCAGTTCTGAAATGGGAGTTAGGACAGAGCCAAATTACAGGCCAAAATGAGGAGCTTAAAGGGATAAGACAGAAGGATAAGAAGAACAAGTAGAGCAGGAAAGGCACTAGCGAAAGCAGAAAGAATGTGAAAACGAGTGAAGGCTTGGGCTTCCTCTGAAGACACTGCTCTCCCAAAAACCCATAATAGAACAGGAGGATGAAGAGGGCAGTAAGACTTAAAAGAAAACAAAAAAGCCAAAATTAAAACAGAAGAGGAGGTATCTGTGAAGAAGAAAAAGAAAAAAGAGAAAGACAAACGCATTAAGAAAGAGCCACTTCCTGAAGAAGAGCCGTGACCGACACAAGTCCTGGCCCAGAGAAAAAGGGAAAAAAAGAGACTCTGAAGCATAATGGGAGGCAGCGCAGTTCTATTGACTGCGCGCTTGACTTGGGTGGGGTGCGCCAGAGCAGCTCTGGTTGGAAACCAAGGAAGGGCAGGTTGGGCCAGGTAGGGATTAGTCAGCCATCCCTTCCAGACTAATTGAGGCATTGCATTAACCCTGTTAACTGTATTATGTCTTCATTTCTTACTCTTCTCCATACAAATAAAACTCTTTCTTTGTAGAAGAATATTATTTTAAAATTTTGTGGAAATTTTTAAAAATACTGATAAGTGGTTAACTTTTTTTAAATCCTGTCAAGCAAAGATAAATAACTATTATTTGTATTTTTGTGGATATTCTTCTAGTCTTTTATCCCCATACATAATTTTTTTAATATATTTGGTATAGGATCTCATTGTGCAACTCAGACTCATAGTGATCTTCCTGTTTTCAGCCTCCCAGCACTGGGATTACAGGGGTGCACCATCATGCCTGGTCTTGGTGGCCAGCTCAGTGAGGAGTAAAGCCATACTATACATGCACTTCAGTCGTGAATATGTTCATAGCATAAAAATCTTCCTCAGCAATATAATTTTTAAAAACTGGATGCCACTATGAAGCTGCTTCTTAGCTTACCCAATCCCTTTAAGTGAATATTTGTTTCTAATATTTTTAAGCAGTACTTTTTAGGTTTGTTATTGAAGAATGGAGGACTTTAAAGTCAGACCCTAAAATTGACTCCTACACTGCCCCATACTATTTGTGTGACGGCAAAAAAGAGTTACTGATACAAAAAACCTACATAGGATAGTGATTTCATGATTTCTTTTCTTTCCCTATTGATTTGTGTAAATATAAAGGTGACCTCAAAGAACCACATAAAGGTATTTTCATATTCTTATTCCTTAGACAGAACAAAGACAACTAATTTTTTTGGCTGCTAATATTTTCTACAAGTCAATTTTAACATTTTTGTTTTGTCTCTTTTTTTTTCTCCTAGAGATAAGATTTCAGTTTCCACAGCTGACTGGAGTGCTTACCCTTGCTTTCTTTATTCATAATTGTATTATCACACTCTTGAAAAACAATAAGAATCAAGAAAACAATGTGAGTAATTATCTGAGGAAATGACTTCTGTAACTCCTGAGGATAGACTTTGTAAGTCAGTGTTTTAGGTACTTTATGTCTGGAAGAGAGTTACACTTTGTTTGTCTTAATTTTTGAGTTTGAACCATAGAGTAGTGGTCAGCAAACTTTGTCTGTGAACGTGAGGTGCAAATACCTGGGTGCAAGTCCAAATACAAACACCTCACTCTACTGCCAGGACATGAAAGCAATAAATAAACAAATGAATCTGTTACCACAGGCAAAAACACATGCTGTTATCTCAGCACTCTGGTCAACTGAGGCAGGAGGATGACAAGTTCTAGCCCAGCCAGAGCAATTTGGAACTTAGGGAGACCCTGTCACAAAGTTTAAAAACTTTAAAAAAAAAAAAGTTTTGTATGTAACTCAGTGCAAAGGCCTTGGGTTTAACCCCCAGTACCAGGATAGATGAGTGGGTCGATGGATGAATGGGCAGATGGATAGAGTAGATAAAGTTGTGTTTCAATGTTATTATTTAAGACAACAAAATAGGTCAGATTTGGCTTGTCAACCATAATTTCACAGCGCCTGATATAGAGCAACTAGTAAAATGGAAGGAAATGTAGCTAATCAGCCAATAATGGTAAAAATTATAATGTGGTAAAAAAAAAAATGATCTAAAAGAAGGTAAGAAAAAGGGAAAGAACACATGGGACAACAGAAACAAATAGCAAGATAAGAGAGTTAAAGACCATCATATTGATAGTTGCATTTAATATAAATGGTCCATACATTTCAATTAAAAGATGCAAAACTTGAACACCAAATTTATGGGGCTTGCAATGGAAGCTTTCCCGGGGGAAAGTATAACTGAACATCTACATTAAAAATGAAGTATCTGAGGCCAAAGCAATAGTTCAGCGGCATAAGTACCTACAAGGTCCTGAGTTCAATCCCCAGGACCAAGAGGTACAAATGAAAGGTCTCAAATCGAAATCTAACCTTCTATCTTACAATACTGAACAAAGCAAACTAAAACCAAACCACGGTGAAGTTAACCAGCTACCTGTTGCCGTGTGGGTAGACTGTAAGCTCACTTTGGTAGTTTCTAACCATGTAAGCAAAAATCATGATGAAACTCTACTAGACGTCTCTACAGTTATTAGCAAAATACAAGGGAATGTGCTATTCACTACACATGAGAATTTTTTTTTTTTTAATTTAGGGAAGGGTCTACAGGGTGCTCAGGGTCTCACTACGAGATGGGACTCACAGTGATTCTCCTGTTTACAGCCTCCCAAGTGCTGGGATTACAGGTGCATATCACCATGCCCAGTCTCAATTGCCATCTCAGCACACCCTGGGGTTGGGACCAGCACAACAGGCTCAGGCATTGAACTCCTGGCTCCTGTGCCTGCTTGCAGGCACTTTAATCCACTGAGCTATTTGGTTGACCCACCTGAGGATTCTGAGGTTTGAGTAAGGGGTAGTATCTAGGAGACTCATTATGAAAGCAAAAAGCATCCTAAGTACAGGGAAGTTAGCTCTCAACTTAGGGAAGAATATGTCGGCCTCTTTCATTTTCATCTTTACTGGGCATGTACGTGGCATGTTACTTGTAAGTGGAGTTGCAATTGAGTAAATCTGGATTTTCCATATTTCTTAACTGCCTTCACATTTTGTTTTGCTCATATGTAAACAATGATATCTGTTGGGGTTATAAAAATTAAATAGTATGAAATATACACATTTAACATTACCTAAAATATAGTAGGAGCTAGACATTCTTAGCTTGTTTACCCATTACTGACATTTATAGCCTGTTTTCTGATGTCGACTTATAACAGATACTCAAACATGCATCTGGAGAAGTGGAACTCTTGTGTATTGCATCATTCTGTCCATAAGGTAGTAAAGCAGATTTAACTGTCAAAGTCTCCCTAGTGACAGAACAACCATGTATACCTAGTAGCCTGGGGAAGAACCAATTATATTGAGCTTTGTTTTATGGCACTGGAAATTGAACCTCTGTTGCTCTTTGTGTGTTTATTTTGAGACAGGGTCTCATCAAGTTGCCTAGGCAGGGCTTGAATTCGTAATCGTCCTGTCTCAGCTTCCCAGAATGTTGGGATTGCAGGCCTGTACCATCTCATGCTTGAATCTTAACCACTCATACATATGTTTGCATGCTTTGTGTGTAGTTTATCTTATAAGAAAACTGCCTCAAAATAATTCACTTGCAGGCAGTTCTCATGTTGCATGGTTCCTCCATGCACAAATTGCAGTTACTAAGGTTTAGATTATATTAGTGTCCTAACATGATACCAATTTCAGTCACTACAGGGTTTGACATATGAATACTTGCATAAAGCAGTGGCTGCTAGCTTTCCATTTCACAGATTAACATGCACATCACGGAGACACATTGTGAATAATGGCCAGTCGCATCACATCTTTCAAAGTCTGTCAGGGATTGTTCACTTTATATGCAGCCCGTGAAGCAGGTAGTTGTGCCGGCTCTTTGTCTGCAGTGGTAAGCCCATGTGCTATTTTACCAAAATTGATAATTGAAAGAAAGAATTGGCAAACAAAGGTGAAAATGCAGCGATAAAACAAAGAGTAGTACATGGAAAATGAAATTTAAATAGAACGTAAGGGAAGTTGTAAAAGAAACAGCTGATTGTGGAAGTGTTGGCGATACTGCAGGACTAGAGACGCAGCCGGCAGAAGTCAGGGAGAGTAACCTTTTCAACATGAACTTTCAAAGGGTTGTGATGAGAAGGAGGAAGATGGCCCAGAGGAGGTGACACTGTCAGAAAATCCCCATTGGAAGAATTCTCAGAGATATTTCACAACGTTGAAAGCACAAATAGATGAAATATTAGAAGTAAAACAAAGAGTAAAGAATGCCAATGCCATTTCAACTTTGTCACTTGAACAAGTCTTTTTTTTTTTTTTTTTTTTTTTTTGTGGAATCAGGGATTGAACTCAGGCCCTTGCACTAGCCAGTGAAGCACTTATTCTACTGAGTTATCTCCCTGACCCCTGAACAAATCTTAGAGACTTGAAGACAAATGTTTAAATGCTGATATTTTCTTGCTCTCTTAAAACCATAATATGAAGTGATGTTCTAGCCTTCAAAAAACCAGTGGTGTGTCACATGAACTTTTTTTTTTTTTTTGTATTTTAGGGAAGGGTCTACAGGGTATTCAGGGTCTCACTAGTAGATCAGACTTGTAGTGATCCGCCTGTTTATAGCCTCCCAAGAGCTGGGATTACAGGTGCACACCACCATGCCCAGTCTCAATTGCTGTCTCACTGTGCCCCAGGGGTGGGGCCAGCATGGCAGGCCCAGGGATCGAACCCTTGGCCCCTGCACCTGCTTGCAGGCACTTGAGTCTGCTGAGTTTGTTTGGCTGTCCCTACGTTAACTTCTTAAAGTATTAATAATTACTGATGAGAAAATTAACATTTATGAGGTACTATGTGTCAGCAACATTCTAAATATTTTATATATATAAATAGATATGTTTTGTCCTTTTGATTATGCTGACATTGGCTTATGTAATATATCAAGCTAAATGGATACTATATTCTAAAGACTCTTTGTCACTGAAATTATCTAATGATTGTACCTTTCAGTTTACCTCTTGAGTTATCCAAGTCTTCCATGTTACGTTAACTTTTTGAAATTAAAGTCAGAAAATGGGAGGCTTACCGAGGACTCTGAATTCACAGTGCCGCTGTTGAGTTAGGCAGCCCAGCCGCAGAAAACAGGGTTATGAAAGTGGAAAAGAAAATGAAGGACTAGGAAAGCCTCCTTTTCTGTATAATTCTTTTGGACTTGTTTCTCAAGACATCCGCAGGGAAACAAGTAAGACTCCTAATTGGGTGTGCTAATTAGATTTTCCAAGTTTAACTTAATATTTGTGCATTTTTTCAGTAAACATAACTTTATTTGTGTAACTGGGAGAGTAGGGCTGAAGGTCATCCACTTCCTTTGCTACCAGCAGAATAGCCAGTCCCTGTACCTGCTGCGTGGAAATGGGGATAAACTCTCGCTATATCTTCACTGTTTGAATCAGAACCTAAACAGTGCTGCTTTACTTTTATTTTGTGCAGTTTTATTCAGTTTATTGTTCTGCTGGGGGTGTTTTGCAATGCAGTCTTCCACTGTAGTTCAGGCTGGCCTTAACACTCACAGTGTAGCCCAGACTGGCCTCAAACTTGTGACAGTCCTTCTGCCTCAGCCTTCTGAGGGCTGGGATTACTGGCGCCTGGCTACCCTGCTTTGTTCTGTGAAACGATTTGAGTTGCCTTGTATCTTAATTTGCTACTTTGTTCTTCATATAACTCTGTGGTTTCCTTGGCTGTGCACTAGTGGAGGTTTTAATAAGTGTTCAGGCTAAGTCTGTGGCCACTTCCTGTTGTTTTTCTTCGTGAGCGCTCTACTCCATAGTACGTTCATTATGAGTTCTAACTGGCGGCAGAGTGTGGCTCCCAGGCCGACTTGCCGGACTGGCCCTTTATAAATCCAAGCCTCATTCTAATTGATAGTCTGCCTTGCTCCCCTACCATCAGTCCGTGAGCCATGGCTTAGTCATGAACCAGAGTAGGTCACCTTACTGATACAGAGTTCTTGACGTAGTGCCAGTTTTACTGTCATGTGTGTCTCTTATGGAACGTGTGTAGTTTTACTTTGAGCCTCATCTTCTAAACGATAGCTTTTTCTCTCTGTTCCCATTAAGGGATTTTAGGAGGCCAGATGTTGAGGCATAGCACAGTGACGGCTTGGGTTTGAGCAAAGAATAGCAAGTCTCACATGTGCACGCTCCTCAGGGGTGGCCTATTTCCCAGCTCACACTAAACCTCAGCTGCTTTTCTAAGAAGAACAGCGTTCCTGTTCATGAGAGCATTTCCAGATGAAAACTGATAGGCGTCTCCTAAGTTCTCCTGAGTACTGTCAAACAGTACTCATCTTAGCACTGTTTACAGATCTTACAGTACTGATCTCAGCACTGTATTTTCATATACAGCTCTGTATGTGTTGTTACATTCTTTGTTACTCATAGGCTATTGCCTCTTTCAGGTTTTGCTTATTGTTGTTCATTATAAGTATCCTGCAGACTGGAAATGTCTCCATCGCTGTAGCTGAGGACATGCCTTTTGGAACCAGAAAGACCTTGATAGAATATTGGCTTCACCAGCTACTCACATTGTGACCATGCACAAGTTTTGTAACTTTGCTCGCCTTAGTTTGCTTATCCATGAAGTGGAGAGATTGACTGTATCTGGATCATAAAGTTGTTATGAGGATGAAATCAAATATGCATAATATGCTTAGCACAGAGCCCAGCACCTAGAAGCAATTAATAAATTAAACTGGGACCGGGGACCTGGGTTCTATCTCTGGTGTATGCTGAGATGGCAATTGAGACTGGGCGTGGTGACTCATGCCTATAATCCTGGCTCTTGGGAGGCTGAAAATGGGAGAATCACTACAAGTCCCATCTATGTAGTGAGACCCTATAGACCTTGTATAGACTAAAAAATACAAATAAATTAATTAAACCAATGTATTATATTTATCATACTTACTAAGTTCCTTTTGTATGCCAAGTGTTACCCTGGTATTAGGGATATAAAAATAAAAAAGCTGGACCAGGGAGATAGCTCAGTAGGATAAGTACTTGCCTGGCAAGTGCAGGATCCTGAGTTCAATCCCTGGTAGCATGCAAAATAAATAAGTAAATAAATGTAAAAAAGCCCAAGTCCCTGTCCTCAGGATCTCAAGTAAGATGGCTTGGATCAAGTTAAAAGCCAATAGAAAAGAATAGTGGTGCATACCTGCAATCTTAGTATTTGCCTCTAATCCCAGCACTCAGGAGGCTGAGGCAGGAGGATCAGTGTAAATTCAAGACAGCCTGGGCTACACAGTAAATTCAAGCCCAGCCTAAATGAACTACATAGTGAACTCTGTCCCCCAAAAAATTGAAAAATAAATACATTATATATATATATATATATATATATATATATATATATATATATGTATGTATTTTATAGTATACTATAAAGAATACTTTTTTTTCTTCCAGGAAGGCAGCCCAAAATAAGGTGGTAGGGGGCCAGGGAGATGGCTCAGTAAAATAAGCGTTTGCCTGGCAAGCTCAAGGACCTGAGTTCAATCCCCACTTCTGCAAAAAAAAAAAAAAAGAGAGAGAGAGAAAACAAAATAAGGAGGTGACCACGTAGTATACAAATTAAAGGCTGTCCATGGAATGATGGGTGTCCCTCATCTCGTACAGTATATAGCTGTTTGACATAGCTGTTTTGCCTCCCATTTGGGATTTTTTTTTTTTTAACAAGGCCACCTCTGTTCTTAAGTGGCTTGAGTAGGTTGAGGGTAGAATGTCTTTTAGGTATCATAATAGAAGACAGTCATCCCTTGATAGGAAACTGGGTATTGCCTGGCTCCTTTCTGTTCTCCCACCAAGTTTAAGGCTACCCTGTGGATAACTGAAATCTAGCATACCACAGGCCCTAGATCTCCATGAATTAAAGGGAAAATTTTTTGAAACATCTCCCTGGAAGTTTGATCACCCTCCCTTCCCTCAACCCTGAAGAATGAGCCCTTCCAGAGGCCAGGAAGCAATCTACATAAGCTTGAAGCTCTACAGGTCTACCCATCCAATGTGGGGTATGGAATCCCTGGATTGTTCTCAAGCTGATTGTCTATTTAATCCTGACAAAGATTTCATGTATCTGGTTACTTGCTCTTTAACTGGTTGGTTGGATGGTTGGAGGGATGGATGGTTGGTTGGTTGGTTGGTTGGTTGGTTGGTTGGTTGGTTGGTTGGTTGGCTGGATGGCTGACTGGATGGCTGGCTGGCTGGCTGGCTGGCTGGCTGGCTGGTTTTTTCAGACAAGGTCTCACTATGTAGTTCAGACTAGACTTGAGCTCTGTAGGTATCCCAACCTGGCCTTGAACTGGCAGTGATCCTCTTGCCTCAGCCTCATGAGTGCTTTTTTAACTGAATTTATAGCAGTTCAAGTTTATAAAACTTGACTATTGCTGCAGCCCATTTAAGGAGAAAAATTATCCAGAAAATTAGAAATGTTTCCTAATTCCAAATGTCCAAACATTCTCACTGTTATCAAGCTTTAAAAAAAAAATTGTGTATGACTTTTTAATCTGTTTTCTTAGCTTTCAAAGTAATCTGTGTTTAAAGTGAAAACTGAGTGGGCTTATTGCCACACACAGTTGAGTTGTGCTAAATCGTTTGGCTGTCACTGCAGTGCTGAGAGAGACAGCCTGCATCTGTGGAATCTGTCCTGTCTGGACCCGACAGCTGGCTGCACTCGGCATTTCGGAGGGCGGGCGGGAATAGCAGTGGGAAGAAGCAGTCACTTTATTTACTGTTCTGTGTTTGTTTACTGATTCCAGTAATAACATTGTACAGTTACTTGAACAGCTGCCCTTTGATTTCCATCTGTTTACTGTTTAGGTTCATTGGGCTTGACCTTAGCTCTTGCCTGTTGTGTTCCCTTTGATTAGCTCTCCTTTATTAAATGTTTTCATGTGTTCTACTCCCTTGTGGTCTAGGCATAATTTTGATGACTTAATTTACTAAAGAAATAATTTTTTTTTAAATTCTCAGTCCTACTGAAGATGACTTATACTTTCTTGTTGCTCCTTAGCCTTGTTGATAGTTAAATATTTTATAAATAAATTACCTTTTGGAATTAAGTCAGAATTTCAGTCATGTGAAGCCACAGTTTATGTTAGCTTTCTAAGTCTGCCAACAGGTAACTTAGTGGATGTACTCCAGGCTAGTTTAAAAAAAAAAAAAAAATTGGCATGATAATTGTGGTGTGTGAATTTTGTTTTAGTTACTTTCTGCGAATAGATTGGCCAGAAGGGGTACACGCATATATACACAGGGCTAAAAAAATAAATTCTGTAATTTTTACTTTTACTTAGTGTTAAATTGTTGCAAATTTCTTCCTGTTGTAGGAACTTTATTTTATGTTTGTCTATTTCTAGGTGAGAGACCTGTGCATCGCCTACATGCTGGTGACGCTGACTTATCTCTATATCGGAGTCCTGGTTTTTGCTTCGTTTCCTTCACCTCCATTATCCAAAGAGTGCATTGAGCAGGTACGGCGCTGTGTACCTTCTCTGTGTGATTGTTTATAACTTCATGTGTGAATAGTACGCAGGATGATAACAGGGAGATAGAATAGCACACAGGCCTGGGTCTGAATAAATCTTTACCATCTATTTGAAGTAAGGAATTTTGATACCTTCCCCATCCTGTCTGAGTTTGTCTCCTTTTCTATGAAATTTTATAAAATATATGCCATTTGAATTTTACATGTGTCCTGAATACTAGGCACCTGTGTGCTCAAATATGACTACTATCGTGTATTATATTTCTCTTTGTGTAGAGAACAATTACCAGGAATTCTTGTGAATTTATACAACATCCACATTGGATTCACTAAGTCTCTTATTTTCCAAAGCCCAGATCTGAAAGTGCCATGGCTAACCTGTTTGTTCATCTTGAATGATAAATCTGACTCACACTCAGATACTGAGCACCAGACAGCAAAGCAGGACAGGGTGTGTGTCAGTTAAAAAGAGGGAGACAGCACTCATGGTGGCCTATAGTCTCAGCACTTGGGAGTCTGAGGCAGATGGGTCCCAAGTTTGAGATCAGCTGGGGCAACATAGCAAGTCCTGGGCTGACCTGTGCTCCAGAGGGAGAACCTGCCTCAAAACAAAGCAAAAGACAAAGCCAGAAAGGGGAAAATGAATATAAAGAAAAATCTTGCTGTGTATGATGTCACATGCCTGTAAGCCCAGCACTCTGGAAAGCTGGGGGCAGGGGTAGGGAACCCATTTTGAGCCCATTCAGGGCAACTTTGAAACTTTAAAAAAAAAAAACCTATATCAAAAATAATAATAATAATTCTAAGGGCTGGTTGTGTAGCTTACTGTGACAGCTTCATGCTCAACCCCTGCACTACAAAGAAAGCCTTATACCAAAAAGTTGCCATGAGTAAAAATTTGCATTTAGTTAATCAAACGTTTGGGAATAATACAGTATCTAATGTGACTGAAAATTTTCTCCGGAAAAACAGTATTTTGTAGGTGATTTTCTAGTCAGGAGAAACTGCTGTAGGTAGTCACTAGAGTAGAAAACAGGGAGGTCAATCTTCTGCACAAGAGAAGAGGACCGAGAGATGATAGGAGAGAAGAGGGCATGAAAGGAAGAATGAAATGTTAGGTCTGTGAACCAACTCCACATGAGAAATGTGATCATTATGTGCTGCAAACAGGCACCAAGAAAGATAAAATATTAAAAAAAAAGACAGAGCATGGTGGTGCACACCTGTAATCCCAGTGCTGAGGCGGCTAAAAACAGGAGGACTGCCTCGAGTCTGAGCTGCATAGTGAGACCCTGTACCAAATACATTAAAGAAAACTGCTCTAAAAGAATATAGTGGGCTG